ACGAAGTTCAATGCTTTTGCTGCGGTGAAATTCTCTAAATGAAAATCGTCGGATTGTTTAAAAATCCATCGGAAAATTGGACTCGTGTTGAATTTTCATGTGGTACTCCCATTTTTTCCGATGAACTTTCGCCTGATTTTAATGAACAGTTCTAAGAGACATACCTAATTACGCACATGAAAACTTTATCACGCACAAATTATCGCCTTATAAACTGGCGCTGATCCACACAATGCGGAATTTTCGTGGAAAATTCCGGGAAAATTGCGGCAATATTCCCTGGACGGGTATGAATCGTAGGATATGAGTCGGGATGATAGAGAGAGGGGATTCGGAAAAAATTGGGGCATTTTTATGAACTCCATCCGCTGTAATTTTGGCGCACTTGACCTCATTTTTCCTCAGGGGCGAGTTGACGATACGAATCGGTTTTCCTGGTCTATTCTTTTACGTGTCTTTAATGCCCCTATAGCTTATATTATCAATTTATATTTTTTAAACTTCTGGAATTTCTGTGGAAATTAATAATATCTTTGTCATCATAAAAAAATGTAATGTGACTGGATGTTTTATTTGTTCCGGCGTTTTTCGGGAATTCCTCGGGATTGGAGAGAAATATTAAAAATGTTGTCATGACCTTTTTGGTAGCTCTTGATTATCTCTATAAAAAAGGTTCAGACAATAATTATGGTATCTCCATTGGATAAGCAGACATTGATTGAAATGTGGACGCTCAGGATTAATCTGAATCCGTATCCCTTCGCTAATCAATTTCGGGCACCAATTAATCAATCAATGACAACTCACCCCTGGAATTCACTGGGATTTCACCGGGTAAAACCCTAAAACCCTAGAAATAGTTTGTGTAAGTGATGGGTAAAGAGTGGACGGATGTGCGCCGATGAATTAATTAGTCGTGTCGTGTTAGGTACGGGGGAATTAGATATCGATGATTAACGACACTTGGGAACACGATTGAGCACCGAAACACGTGGGTCATCCCCAGATGAAGATGCCACTAATTTTTTCTCGACAATTCCCCAGCTAATCCAAGAAAAATTCCCAAATAAATGGAAAAATCCGCGCGAAAAAAAAGGCAACCATTGAAAAATATCTGAAAAAAATTGATTTCACTGCATTCATTGAAATAATTAAGATGAATAATAATGAAAATGATTATTATAACTTTCATTAATCTATTGAATTATTATTGTTCTATTTTATAATTTTTTTTCGATATTTTTCGCTACGATTTAATCTGCATTTTTTGTTAATTAACCGTAAAATTAATAAATACTGTAAATGACCTGACGAGAAAAAAATCCCGAAATATTGGAAGAAAATCTCAAAAATAGAGCTTAGATCATGGAAAAATAAAACTAAAAAAAAAACGATTTTGTACGAGCGAAAAAGCAAATGAAGCTGAGGAATTCCAGTAATGAGTACATTCCCCTCCCCAATAACTGCGTGATTGTCACGAAGGTATGAAAGCAAAAAACCATTAATTCTAACTATCTATTCTATCTCTATTCTTCTACCGATTATATTTTTCTATTCTATTTGTACGTTGAATTGTACTCTAATTGACCAAGCATAAAGTTCGTGCTTGTTCGTAATCGTGCGAACATTAAACCAAAAATATATATTAATATTAACTAATGTATAGAACAATTAAATAACCAGAATAACGAATCGATGGTGAATGAATGGATTATGTAACAGCGGGCTTACGCATTTTGGGACTTAAATTTTCGTTGCCCGTTTTAACAGATAATCCATTAATAATACTGTAATCGTTATCTTTAGGAATGTCTCATCTCATCAATCGTTATTTATTAAAAATACACTATTGTTGAATGCACAAAACTGAAAATTATACTGACTCAATTAAACCTCACGCATCAGGTATTGTTTTATTATTATTTATATAATTATTCAGATGAGTTTTCGATGAACGCACGGAGAAAATTGTATTTTCAAATTTTGAAGCAGATGCGATGACTTCTCGGACGGATTATGGATTTATCTGAAAAACTATCGGTCCGCGGGGGAAACAGTAAAGACATTTTTTGTAGCTGATTAAATTTCCGATAAAATCGGTCTTTTCATATTTCCTCGTGAAATTGACAGTTTTCTAGATAAATCGGTAACTAGGAAAAATGTTTAATTCCGATTATCACTTGACTTCTGCGTTGATTCTGTGATAAAAAATCGCAATTTCACAGAGAATCATCGCATTTTTTGCAACAATATCCGAATAACGATTCTTCTACTCAAGAATTAACGGTTAATTCAAATTTTGCCATGATTTTTTCTCCGTGGGGGAGATATTCATAAAAAAATCAGTAACGAAGTGCTACCCAATCTGAAACTTCACATAAACCCCCG